TTAGGGGTTTAGGGATTAAGGGATTAAGGTTCATAGTCTGGGTGGCTGCCCAAACCCCCGAAAAGTAGGGAAATAATGGTCCCACCACTCAGCAACATCTAACTACAAACTCCGAATATTCTACATACCAGTACTTCTGAGGTCAGGTGAGCCTAAATTGAACATCGAAGGCCCTGCCCTTCAAGCTAAAGCGCTTTCAAACCCTGGTGCCCTAGAGATCAGGGTTTAGAGTTTAGGGGCTTAGGGATTTAGGCGGTTTAGGGTTTAGGGTTTAAGGGTTTAGGGTTTTAGGGATTTAGGGCTCAGGGTATAGGGCTTAGGAACAGTGCATGATGTTGTATTGCGGACTCTCTTTCGAGGGCCTGTTCAGAGCTTTCGGAAGCCAAGACACATCCACGGAGCCAGTGCTGGGGGTCCTCGGCTAACATAGGGCCTGAATAGTTAGAGTAGGGTTTGGGTGGTATAGCTATACTACGAATACAATAAGAAACCGTAGGGAACGATATTGGTAATCATTGGAGCTTCAATTCTACATCAAGAGTTTCGGATTTAAGTCAGCGGGTTGGTGTAGGACAGGAATGTTTAGGATTACAGTGTTTCGGGCTTGAGCAGCAGTTTAAGCTCAAGTTGGGGTCTTAAGGTTTAGTTTTCAGGGTTTAGGGTTTAGGGTTAAGGCGTCAGGTCTAGGGGTACACAAGGCACAGCAACATGTTCACTGTTCACTCTCGTCCAGATCTTGGTAATATAGGGGCCTTAATAATTACCCATGCTATTTTGGGGGGTTCCTTATCATATTTATAGTATACATGGACCCCCAAACCCTATTCTAATTATCAAGGCCCCTATATTAGATGCGCGATTTCGTGATCCAGGGCTTTCAACCGTTCAGGCTTGAGTTGTGCTTAGCTATGAAGCCCCCTGAGACATGAGCTCCTAGACTGAGGGGTGATGGTTTCGGAAGCCCACAACCGAAGCTTCCAACCTCGCAACAACGTTAACATAGGACCCTAAACCTAAATCATAAACCCCTTAACATAACTTGTTACCCACATCTTCGTCTGTCACTGTCAGCATGCGCACTGGGTCACATCAAGGCCCCACACACATAGATTGAGGTGCACTCCAACCAATATGAGGCAACCCATAACAGAGCCATTCATCAGGAAGCAATAAACCCTAAACCCGAAGCCGTAAACCCTGAACCCCTAAACAGCCCTAAGCCCTAAACCCTAAACCGCCTAGCAAAGGGAGCCCGAAGCCCTCAAACCCTAAACCCTAAACCCTAAACCCTAAACCCTAAACCCTAAACCCTAAGCACCGAAGATCCGGGTCCAGAAGGCCACGCAACAACCCTGCGACAAGTGATCAATGCTTTGGGGCCTCTTCGCTTTCGGGCTTCCCGGATTGAGGAGTTAGGGTTTAGGGTTTAGGGGTTGAGGGTTTCGGGATTCAGGAGTTAGGGTTTAGGGTTCAGGTTTAGGTTTGCGGGATCGAAGAGTTAGGTTAAGGGTTTAGGGTTTAGGTGTTTTGGCTTTACGGTTTCGGGATTTAGAATTTAAGATTTAGGGTCTATGGGTTTTAGGGTTTCGGGATTTAGGATTCAAAGTTTATAGGGTCTATGAGTTTTAGGGTTTCGGGATGTAGGATTGAGGGTTGGCAGTTGAGCGCTTAGGGTTTTGGAATTCGGGTTAGGGATGTTCAGGGCGTGGTAAGTTTTAGTGCTTTACTCCAACTCCCCAATGGGCCCCAGGTACCTACTATATAGTGTACTAGAGCCCCTAAGGCCCTCTATGGTAGCTACCGGGAGGGTTAGGGCTTTAGGGCTTTCGGACGTAGGGTTGCGGGTTTAGGGTCCCTAGGCTCAGGGCTGAGGCTGTGCGTGTAGGCTTACGACTTCAGAGTTTCGTGTGCAGGGGGGATGCTTAGCCTTTTGTGCATATAGGGCCTAGGGTTTAGGGTTTAGGGTCTAGGGGCTCTTGAAGCCTACTGCGACTATGCAAGGGTAGGTTTAGGGCCTGGGGTTTACGGTCTTGGGACTCTTAAAGCCTACTGCGACTATGCAAAGGTAGGTTTAGGGTTTAGGGTTTAGGGTTTAGGGTTTCCTTCCAGTGAACCCCCAAACGCGGTTCTGCAGGCCAAAACACCTCAGACAACAATGGACTCCGGTACTGCTTCGCCTTTTCCTGCGTCCTAGTAGCTGCATACCGCACATCAAACAAGCTGCCGCCGGCTCATGTAGGAGCCTTAATAATTAGAATAGGATTTTGGGCTCTTTTATAGTTAGATATAATAAGGAACCCCCCAAAATAGTATGGGTAATTGTTCAGGCCGTTATATTACATAATTTCAAAATTTACATACAAACGCCAACCCACAGACCCGAAACTCCGAAACCCTGTAAATTCCTTCACAACCTCAACCCCGAACTCTAGCCCTCAACCCTATGAACTCTAAACCCCAAACGCCCGAAACTCCTTAAAAAAATGCCCGAGGCCCTAAACTCCTTAAAGCCTAAGCTCCGAACAAAGCAGCAAAGACCCACCTCCCGGGCCGATACTGCCAGGCCGGGCGCCGGGTCACCCCGGCACGCTGCAGCTGCCAGCTCCTCAGGGTTTTAGGGTATAACTTGGAAGTTTAGGGTTTAGGGTTTTTGGGTTTAGGGTTTAGGGTTTGGGGTTTAGGGTTTAGGGGTTTTAGGGTTTAGGGTTTACTCTAATAAGAACAAGAAATCATTCCCAAGAGCAATAAACGTGTGTGTTTAAGGTGAGATATATCGAGAAGCCCGAAGGATCACAAGGCTCTGTTGTGAACCGACCCTTCGAAACCTATACACATTAATCATATATATATATATATGGTCGCCCCCCCCCCGTTGACAGACCATGCCCTCTCAACTGAGTAGATGTGCATGGTGTGTCATCGGATGGGTGGCGATCAGCCCTCACAAACTCAATTCCAAAATTTCCAATATTCTCGCCCCTAACTTTCCGGATTTCCAAAAT